ATTTAGGTACCTTTACTATATAAGGTAATTATTATATATAATATATACTTTAATAAAATAAATTCTTCTAAAGTAAAAACAAGAAGAGTAATATAATAGTAAAGTTAAAAGTAAAAAGTATAGTTAAAATTATTAAAATAAAGACTATAAGTAAAATATAATAATAAATATACTTAGGTTAATAAAAGTAATAATAATAGTATTTAAAATAATAGTTACTATAATATAGAATAATAATCCTTTATTAAGTAATACTAAAGTAATTACTTAAGATATTAAGTAATATAACTAAAGTATTACTATAAGAGAAAAGAAAAGGCATAGACTCCTAAGATAACACTAGGCCTTAGTAATCTAAATACTAAGATAGCCTTATCCTCTAAAATTAGTTAACTAGGCGTAATACTTAATAATAGTTAAGTAGTAAATTATATAATAAGCTAAGCACTATAGTATAAAAAGATTATAACCTTATATAAAGAAGGTCTTTTAACCTTTATACTACTAAATAATAACTAGTATTTTAAAACAGTAAAAATATATAGATTAATATATAGCTATATAATTAACCTAATAGTCTAAGCTAAGAGAAGTAAGCTAAGAAATAAGAATAAGCTAATAATAAAGGCACCCTTTAGTATATATAGGTATAGTTAACTATAGTATACTAAAGTGTAGACTAGGAGTAAGGTACCTACTAGTAACCTCTAAGAGGGTATTCTTTTTATCCTTTAGTTAAAGAAAAGACTAAGCCTTAAGAGCTTCTTTATAACTTTCTTAAATAATTAATAAAAAGTAAAAGCTAAAGTAAGTAATAGGCACTATATACTATATACTATAGTAAATATAGTAATATATAAGCTAATAACCTATTATATACTATAAATATTAAATAAGAAGTAATATTATTATAATAATATTATAAGACTACTATAGACACTAAAGAAGTTAATTAAGATACCTCTAGACCTTTATTAACTACTATAATAAGTAATAAACTATAAAATTATAGAACTAAGGTATCTTAAAGTGTTTAAGGTAATTAATAAGTAAGATTTACTACTAAGAATAAGGCTTCTTTTATTAAAGTAAGTATAAATATATAAGTAAGATCTAGAAGAATATCTTAACTATAGTAAAGCATAAGTTATTATAAAGGGGAATATATAAGAAAAGGACCCTCTTCTTTAGATATATATAGTAACCTTTATAGTATAAACCTTTTATATAGTAATAGCTATTACTATATAATTTAACCTTAAGGTTAAGTAACTTAATATAGTTAATATATTTTTAATACTAAAAGAGACTTATTAAGAAAGCTAGTATACTATAAGCTACTACTAGGTTACTAGTAAAGAGAAAAAGTAGTATCTATTATATAGGCCTTGTATAGGTTATATAATATACCTCTTCTTTAGTTTAAGGAGTTTATAAAACACTAAAAAGCCTAGGGCTCTTATTATTAAAGAAAGACCCTTGTCTCTTTATTTCTAAGGAGTATACTATATATATACTCTTTTATATTAATAATATTCTTGTTATATACCTAAAAGAGAGCAAGAAGGTAAAAGAAGTAATTATTATAAGGCTAAAAGAGGTATATAAAATAAAGGACCTTAGAAAAGTAAAGTAGTATTTAGGTATTTATATTATATATAATAGACCTAACTAGAAGATATACTTCTACTATAACTAATATATTTATAATATAGTAGTAAAGTTTAAATATATAAATAAGATTTCTTTTATAATACTACTATTAATAATAGACTTTCTTTAAAACAAGGGGATAATAACACTAGTAAAAGTAAAGCTTTTCTAAAAGATATTTAAATTAATCTTATATACTATAATAATAATCTAGCTAAATATAGTATTTACTTACTTACTTTTCTCTAGGTACCTAATAAACCTAAGTGTATACTATATTTAAGTAGTAAAATAGTATATTTAATACCTTTTTTATACCCTATATTTATTAATATACTTTAGTATCTTAGAAGGTATATAACTCCTCTATATAAGTAATACCTTTTTTACTAATAATATAATTACTTACTAGTTATCCTAAGGGTATATTATATATCTTTTTAGTAGCTTAATTTATTAGAAAGTAACTTACTAAGTAATAGTTATAATATTAATAGCTAAAGCTAAGCTTTTTACTTTTAACTATATAACTAAGGAGCTTATTACCTTAAAATACTTCTTTTATAATATCTACCTTAAATTAAAAGATAATATATAAGTAATATAATATAATAACTAATAGATAATTTACTTAGTTATAAAAAAAAAGAAAATTATAATATAACTTTACTATATTAATATTTAGAATATATAGCTATAAAAAGTCTATATAAAAGGTAAAGTTAATATTATATATTTACTAATAAATAAAATACTAGTAAATAGACTTACTAAGAATCTTTTATAAGCTAAATTTAAGCACTTTAGAGTACTCTTTAACTTATAAAATATATAGTATATAGTAAAATAAAAAAAATAAAGACCTAATTAATAAATAATAGAAAAAGTAAAAGCAAAAACTCCTCTAAAATTAAATAATAGCCTAGGGCTAAGAGGCCTAAGCTAAAGTAAAAATTAAAAAATAGCCTATAGGCTAAAAAGCCTAATATTCTAAAAAAGTAAAAATAGCCTAAGGCTAAGAAGCCTATTATTAATAAAGAAAAGTATTTATATAGTTATCTAAGAGATAATAAAATATAAAGTAAGTTCTTTATATAAGAGAAAGCTTACTAATAAAGCTATTAAGGTTAGCTTATATATAAGTAGCACTAAAAGTAATACTATAATATATATAAAGACTAATAAGGAAGCTAAAGGAACACTTAGGGGTAATAGCCTTTATAAAAGGATTCTTAAGGCTACTTACTTTACTATACTTCTTCTCCTCTACCTTCTTTACTTCTTTTTCTCTTTTTTATCTTTATTTTCCTTTTTATCTTTATTAAAGAAAATAGTTATAAGTAAAGTAGTCTTCTCTTTCTTTAAAGTTTAAGGTAAAACTACCTATATATATAACTATATAGCTATAATTACCTAAAATAAAGATATATAAGTAAAAATAACTATTATATAAATAAAAAGTAACTTACTTTATATAAGGCCTTTTTACTACTTAAAGTATATAAGAAGGTATTAGCTAGACTAATAACTTTAAAAGTAAGTAGTATATATATATACTAATATATAATATATTAGTAATATTTAAGGCTAAGACCTAAGAGACACTTACTATTAAATTAACCTATAAGTATACTTCTTAAGTAATACTTATAAAGGCTAATAACAGTAGGTCTTCTTACTATACCTTCTTAGTACTTTAGTGCCTTTATAAAAGTATTATTATTACTACCTAAATCTTTTTTAATCTTAGAAGATAGTAGTAGGCTTTTTTTATTATTAATATAAAGGTAAAAAAGTAACTACTTTACTACTACTTTATTATTTATAAAATAAGTTAGTAATAAAAAAATAACTAGGTAATAATAAGTAATAATATACTAGTTAAAAGTAAATCTAGGCCTAAGTTACTTAGCTTCTTTTAACTAAAGTTAAGAAGGCTAGTCTTTAGAAAGACTACTTATTATTACTTTTAAGAAGCTATACTTATTTTTTAATATTAAAATTAATTAACTAGTAATAAGATAATACTTATAAGACTTATCTATAGAAGGTTTTTACTTTTTTATAGACTTACTAAAGGTCTTCTTTTTTTTCTTAAGAAAAAATAAAGTATACTTATAGTAACTATAGTAGTTATATAGTAATAAGACTACTATAGCCTTAAGGCCTATAATAGCTATAAAGGTATATATATAAGCCTTACTAAAAGTAATAGTTTTATAAGATATTTAAAAAAAAAATAAGTATTAGTAATTAAGTAAAATAGTATAGTAATATAAAAAGATAATAAGTTAAAGATTAATTATAATAAAAATAATAATATAACTTATAATTATTATTATAGTTATTAAAAAAAAAAAAAGTAACTATAAATTTAGCCTTAAGGTAAATATTTACTAGTGTATAGGCTAGCCTTATAATAAGTAGCTTTACTAATAAAAACACTTAATATAAGTAGCCTATAATTATATAATAACTAGCCCTTTTATACTAAAAGAACTATTTTTTCTTTATATCTAGGCGTATAGTAACTTACACTAATACTTAAGGGGGTATATTACATAGGATATTACTAATTAACACTACTTTCTAGAATAATATTACTTATTAATCTAACCCTTGCTCCTAAATATAGATACTTACAGTAGAATCCACTAAGCAAAGCAATATTTAAGGAATATAGATTATAGTACTATAGATAGAAGAAATAAGCTACTTTTAACTACATGAATTATCCCCTAAGTGCACTACTTAATGATAGAAAGGGAAACTGCCTTTCTAGTACAGTGCTAGAAGATGCGTCGTTAGGCACCTTTTTCTGGATTGATACACCCAGTCCTGAGTTAAGAAAACGCCACATTCTTGGACAGCCATTGATCAGAGGCGCTAACGCTCTGACCAATAGTCAGAGAGCCGCACATACGCTCGAAAGTCCCTGCGCTGACAGACTTCCCAATAGTAAGTAATTCGGAGAAAGGTGCGACCTTCCCTTCGGCACAGTTGGGTTCATCAATTCCAAAGACAAAAAGACTACACAGCCTTTGTTATTGTGATCAAAATGGGAGATTTCGACTTCGCAAGGTAGCTCATTTCCTCCGCGGTGCAACTCTTGGTTCAAAGCCTAACTAGGAAGACCGCACTGCATTATTCAATCCAGCATTGCCCACATGATGTTGCAGACTTTGTCAGTGCCGAGATGCCTCCATGGCACCGCGCAGCCTTGGAGGATGTCATCGGGGACCGGAATATCTGATAACCCGGCTCCATCCGCCCGACTTGCTCCGAAAATACGTATATCTGCGTGTCGAGCCAGTCGGTCTCACACGAAGATATTCCAGCCGTTTCCTCATGACTTTTCCCACCCGAGAAAGTGCCTCGTGACTGTCGGCAAGGATACCAGCCTGATACTTGCTGAGAGTGGAGTTAGGATGCAGCTCGTTATCATTATTACCGTGGAATTAAGCCTGTCGTGGTCATTCTTTTTTAAACTATTTCTTTCAGACGAGGCTTTATCCTTTCTTCTAGCATAATATTGGGGTTAAATTCTGGTATACACATTGTAGCAGCCTCACGAGAATTTAGACGCGGTGAGAACTCATCCGGGAAGACACGCTTCCCGATGAAGACTCGTCGCACTTTAAGTTCTTCTGGGATAGATTGTCGTCCCAGCATATCTCCTGGTTAATTTTGATCCGGAGCCCGCCTTTTGGTGTGTCCCTGTCTCCCGAGCCCGTTTCTGCGCCAGCTCCAGTATGCCCGTCAGGTCGATTTGATATGGTAGTCGTGATACCGTACTTTCTGTCATCGTTTCTCAGGCGCTGAAAGCTTCTGTCTGCCGACTTGCCGCCGCTGCCTCCAATTGTAAGGAGCTCGGTGGCACCGCGGCTTGCCTGCCTCGAGTCGCCACCGCTATGGCCAGCTGAATTGTTGTACTTTGTCGCGAAGCTGCCGAACTGTGACGAAACTTTCATCATGAGGGGACGGAGCGTAGGTAGGCACGCGCTGATGACGCCACAGGCGCATTCCACGACGCACCACGTGCATGCAGTAGCTAGTGTCCCTAACTTGGTCAGCATGAAAGCCTGGTTATGATCAAAGGTGAGTACTCACACGTTGTGTCGGCGATCTGGAATTGCATGATGGTCGTAAACCGGTAGATGCTAGCAAATAGAACACTGCGTATGTCAAGATTAGTTGGTTTTCCATATCAAGAGTCTGTGTTACTCACAATCCACCGAGGAGAAACATGAAGCACAATGACAACCTCTGCGCTAGTGTGGCTTGCAACTTCCAAACTTGTCCAACAGGCAGGCAGAGGATGGCTACATCAGTTAGGATGTTCGGGATTGCGTTCCCAATAAAGGAGGCCTTTAGGTCGATGCAGGTACCATCGAGAAACGGCATGTACGCCTTTTCGATGGGAGTGCATTGGAAGACGCACACACAGACGATGGCAATCCACCATGCAACAGTGATGCCACCTAGGGTAATGGCTGCGATTCTGAAATTGCGAGACGGGAAGATGCGGCAGTACATCAGCAGCAGCGAGACCTTGACCAGCATGACTGCTGTAACATAGATGCATTCAAAGGCCAGCAACAGCTTCAGGAACTGCACCTGCATATCTAATGAAAGTGTTGCGGCATGACGGCCGAGACCTTGGCCAATCACTACAGCCACGTTAGTCTTTCAGGCTTGCCAATAATTATTGTGAGGCTTACTTACTTGCATAATTGATGGATCCAGCCATGAATGTGACAACCTAACAGCATGACAATTAGTCTCTTCTCCGAGAGTCTGTGTTCAAATGACGACATACCAAGGCGGCTACCATGAACCAGTCATCTGCACCATACTTGAACTTAACAACCCAACGCGACCAGAAGCGAAGCCCTACGAATACTGTTGCAAGGACAAGCAGCGCTGTGGTCGTGCCGCTGAGTTCGGGCCCTCTGTCAGCCAGAGGGTCCGATATGTCTGATGTGTCGGCCATGTAAGCTGAACAAAATAAAACAGGAGAATTGCGGGTCTACCTCGATTGTATAAATTCAAGTCAAGTCCAGCCGAAAGAATGAAGAATAAACCTAGAGTCTGGAAAAGCTAGCAAGATATCCAGCTGTGCGGTTTACGCAATGTGAGAGTCCTTATACGGAATGCCCACTGGCGACCAGCACAGTGAAAAACTCAGGGGCAAAAAGAGCCGAGCGTGGCCGACTAGTTGTACGGCCTTGAGTCTGTATTATGTGCAGGTAACGGGCTAAGAATGGGTGATAGAAGTCGGGAAAGAGTGTGGTAATTGCGACCGCAGAATCTGTTGCGAATGTGACTTGCCAAGACTTCATCGGACTTGCTCCGATGATTTACGTTGGTAGGCCCACCCGCCCAGATATAATAATCTAGCAATACCCTGCTGCTACCCGCAAGTATTGACGAGCGATGGAATGATAAAGAGGTGCTGCTGCCGTACAGCAGTAGGCTTGTGGTGAGTGCTTTGGGTATTTTCTACTACGTAGTAGTCTCTTGGCTGATCAAAGGGGGTCAAACTTTGGCCTGGCACCATATGGTCGTAACAAGACTGGATCTTCTTAGACCACAAGACATGGACTTGGGCCCGTGACCCACAAATACGAGAGCGGCAGTTCTAAGAAAATGAATTTACTCCAAGACAAATCACGCTAATGTATTGTGGAACTGAGGGGACGTAGTGAGTGGTGAAAATCCCTGCGAGGCCTCAAGGCCATGTCCTACTGCGTAGGGTCTAAGGAGATCGTTTATTGATCCAGGTTGTTCTTTGTGAGGATCTACGCCGTGTTAAGGATCTACGGTCCCATGATGATAGGACGTGGCCTACCAAGAATCCTTACCTAAAAGACCTCAACAAAAATGACATATCACCCCGTTAATGTAACCAGTATCCATACCAGGGGCTACATCACACGCAAGATAATACAGATTTTACCCCTGTCACTTCCAACCAAGTAGAACACACAGCCCCTGACAACATTCATGTCATTGTCAGTGATTGACTCCTTCTGCAGCATTCAATAGGTTTATGAAATATTTTTAAAAGACCTTGTGTCCCAAATGACCCAGCTTAGCACGCGTCCACTCGACAGCTTGGCATCTTAGGCAAGGGCTTTTAATAAGCTTCTCGATATAACGGCCAATGAAAGTGAGGACTAGTTGAATTAGTTCGAAAAGAGAAGCATATGTTTTGCATCATGTCACCATGTATGTCAATAACTTATCAGATCTTTCTTAATCTCTGCTACGAATCAATTTGTTATCTCGTCGTCCCGTTTAGTGGATATAACCCCTTCTTAGAGTGGGCTTTGCGGCATTAAGAGCGGTATAATTAATCTGACCTGGATAAGGGTAAAGATCTACACGACAATTGCCGTAGGCCCTAGTTCGGGACAAGGTTTAGGGTACCACTAAACCTGTCATACTCCACTTGTATGTTGTAATTTCGTTTGCTCGGACTTCTTCCGCACAGCCGTCCCGTTCTGTCTCCACTGCCTCATTCTTTAACTCGGGTTGTTCTTTAATACTCCTCAAGCACAATGCCAATCTTCATGCTACGGAACAGTTTTCTTCATTTTCCGACCCGGTAACTGTTCGAACCTTACTTATCCATCATCCATTGGCAGTTGCGTCTGTCTTCACTGCGGCTTAGGACATATGTGGAAAATGTCCGCCCTTGTTTCTGCGGGCCTTGCGGCGAGCGCAGCCACTTTGCCGACAGTGGTCTTTACCCCGGGCGCTTGGCACGGTCCCCAGTCCTTCGATCTCGTACGCGCCGGACTGACTGCTAAAGGCTACGAGTCGGAGGCTATCAAGCTGCCCTCTGTCGGCGCAGAGCCCGCCACTGTCGGCCTTGAGGAGGATGCCGCAGTGCTGCGGTCCACCATCGAGGCCCTCGCCGACGAAGGCAAAGAGGTCGTCCTAGTTGTGCATTCATACGGCGGCATGGTTGGCGGCAATGCTGTGAAAGGATTGGGATATCAGCAGCGCGCTGCTGACAACAAGACTGGCGGTGTCATAATGATGATGTACCTGAGTGCCTTTGCGGCGCCTCAGGGAGTCAGCTTGTTGGACATGCTGAGTGGAAAGTACTTGCCCTGGATGAGAGCTGATGTAAGTTCTGACAAAAATTGAACGGCTTGATTTCGTGTTCAAGTTGATGCCCTCCGTCCCCTTCAACAATGGCTCGCTGACGCAAGATTCATAGGGTGATAAGGTCTTTGCCGACACCCCGGAAACCATCTTCTACGCCGACGTCAACCCAGTTCTACAGGCCAAGGCTATCCAGGAACTCAGCTGGCAGTCCGCACGCGTCTTCTCCGACCCCTCGACATATGTTCCCTGGAAAGACGGTATCGAGGTTATGTACTTTCACTGCACGGAGGACCAGGCCATCCCGTTGGCCACACAAGAGGCCTTGGCGGCACAATTTCCGGCAGGATACACGACATACTACGCCAACTCGTCGCACTCCCCCTTCCTGTCTCATCCGGACTTGGTTGTTGAGGGCGTCGAGCTTGCCGCCAAGGTTGGAAAGGAAAAGATTACTATCTAAAGTTTCTGTCGAGTAATTGGGTATAGGCTGAGGGGTGTGTGGCAACCGGACTTTACTATCTAATAACTCTTTTTGAGCGTGCCCCTAGGGATAAGTAGAGACAGTAATAGTCAATAGAGTACTATTATTGTGTCACAAGATATCCCTTTAGTTGCGAAATGACCTCATTATCCTCTGGGTGGATCCCCCTCCACTTTTACCCCACACTTTCGGAGATACATGACAATACATTATTTTAGAATGTTATTTTATTAGCAACTACTACTAATTTCAACATTATCACTAGCATTATCATTAAAATCACAATGTCTTCTAATCCAGATACCTCTATTAATATCACTATATACGTAGAGGTCTTACTAGAGGACCTTGCTATCACTTGCCTATATAAGCCTAATAAGCTTCTAGGAGACCTCGCAAGGCTGCTTAGACTATAATGTACTGTTATGTAAAGGTAGAGATTGCTGGTACCTTTGGCATAGGCAAAACGCTATATGAATAGAAGTACTTTGAAACTATTGGCTTTCGGCGTTAATTACTGTGACCTGATTTGCTCCTACCCCTCACGGAGGATAATGAGGTCATTTCGCAACTAAAGGGATAAGCCACAATTGCAGCACAATGACTAGGGGTCCACTTTTGTTTCCAAGTGCCTCATTCTCATTCGTCACATTGAATATTGATAATTGCATATGTTAACGTAGTGGATAAGTAAAATAGTACAAATGTGCGTGCCATGCTACGTCAACCTTATCATAAGACCCCACCCTACAACTCGGACCACCCCTAATGTCAGACCACGCCAATACACACCAAATTCACAGATTTACTACACTAAATCTATAGATTTAGCTATTTTTTAAAAATTAGAGAAAAGTCTAAAGAACATAAGATTTTTAGTATACTTTCTCTTATACTTAATATATAATATAAAAAATCTATATATATTATATACTTAAATATACCTATTTTACCTTATCTACTCTTATAGATAAGGGCCTATATAGATATAGTACTTTATAGCCTATAGAGAATTATACTAAGTATATTTTATAATATATTATACTTATTAAAAGCTATCTATAAAGTTTCATGTGTTTTAAGCTTATCTTTGATTTTTAAGAAATAGTTAACTTAATGCACTTATCCCTTATCACTCTGCTATTTAGGGGTGGTCCGACATTAGGGGTGGTCCGAGTTGTAGGGTAGGGTCTTATAACTTATATGACTTATATGTACGATGGATGATGAAGTCTGGTGGTAGACGATCCTCCCTCCGCTCTATTATTATAGCTAAAATATATTGATATGTTGCCTTACCATCTGTATACAGCAGTCGTATTCAGTTACACTGGTTTGAGACCCATACGATCATTGTACCGAGGTACAGAGACAAGGCGGTCCCTCTTGAGGTCGCACAGGTACCAAATAGTCACTATACACAGTGGAAAAAACTACCGTAAAGGTACCCATACAATAGTTTTACATGTCTGGAGTAAAGTAGAATTGCCAGTGCCGCTCGAGCAATTTACCGCAGTACAGGCGATCAGCCCGGCCAAGTGGGTTAGAAGGGCCAAAGGTGCAGCATCTGCGGACTCGGTCACTTCATTAGCACACGCCATCGCGAGGGCCCTTGGAAGCAGACTCACCAACTCTCGAGCAGCTTCTATCGGCTCCGCTAGCCTCCTGACCTCTTCAGGGACGTTGACTTATGAATAAGGCCATTTGCAAGCTATATTGCACTTTTGATTGAGCAGTAGTCCAACTAGCGTAGCAAAAGGCTCTCCCAGTTCGACGCGGATCACATCAAGGTTCTTGTCGTTGCCAACACGTCCGATTTCTTGGACGCACAAGGATGCTACGAGCTGGGTCAGCAACCAGTCGGAGTGGCAACCGCTTACTGATCAATTGCACTCCATTTACTGACCAGAAGAGGAAGACAAGAAAGAGGATCAACAAAGGACGACGAGCTCTAGGCCCCGTTGTGGTGCTCCGTGAAGAGCGTTGGGGAAGAGAGATGGTGGGTTTGGGGCAGCCACTTCAACGCGACCTCGCCATTCGGATTCCGGACTACTCCTGGAACCAGCGCGGCTGGACGTACCAGAAGAGGATGCTGGCGCCGTAAAAGCTCATATTCGGGCGATCAATGGTGCACTTCGTCGACAGTAACGGGCTCGTCTTCTCTGGAGGCGGGCAAGTCCATCGCATCTACTCGGATGGCAGGAGAAAGCTCGTCCCCAGCTCCGCGTGAACCCGGGCACCATAAAGAAGACGGAAAACCGGGGATTTTACCGGCCGTTGGAGTGGCTGCAGCGTGTGGAAACTTTTACAATGATGCAGTGGACCTTCCGTGTTGATATATTTCCGGCCCTTTCTGGCATCACCATCACGTTCGAGCAACACACCAGATGAATGGGGCTGGGAAAGCGACGAGTATCTGGCTGGCTTGTGGAAGCTAGACCTGCACTGTAGTCTCACCTGGTATGGCTCTGACCTGGAGAAGCTCCCCTCTCACTGACTGCAACAACTGGTGAGTTCGTTGCATCAAATGACTGGGAACGGAAATAAATGCGGCTCGTTTGTCGCACCCTCGTCGAGCTGGGCGAGTCGAGGCCATGCCGTTCAGTTCGCTATTTCCCTCGGATACGGAAGGCCTATATATTTCAACGGGCTCCACATGAGACGCGAGTACAAGCTCCTAAGCTCCAACGTACAGATCGATGGTCTCAACTCCTTCAGACGACTTAAGGCCGCCTCGTTACTAGTCTGAGCGAAACTGTTGCCCCTATTACCAACGAGGAAAATAACGGAATGCTTTTGCTTTGGCGCATCAGGATGATTTCTTGCTGATGGCCGTAAGTGCTGAGTCGGCCTCCCTGATGGTACACCCCAGCCTCTTCCACAGACGAGTAAAGGATTGCAGCCTCTCCCACTCCCCGATGTCGAGCGGCGTGCTGTTCAGGTGCCGGAGCCTCATCACTGAATGTCCGCCGCTGGACGAGGACGACTCGTACTCGACAGGGTTGCCCCCCGACAGCTCGATGGTGCCGTCGTCTTCCGCCCAAGCGACTACCATACTATCATCTTTGGCGGCTCCCTGACAGACGCGAAAGGTCTGGGTACTAAATTTCTCAGGCAACGCCCTCCCGCTGGCGTTGCCGCTGGAGGAGAGCAGCTTGTTGCTTTTGCTAACGAGACCAAACAACACGTTTGCATCGTCAACCACCATGCCGTACTTGCGGATGACGATGCTTTCGGGCAGGTCTGTCTGTCCTAATATGCCCAGGGTCATCTTTTAGGGGTACGGCTTGTTGTCCCTCATGATGAAAACAAGCCGGAACGGCTCAGCATCCACCTGGCGTTCACGGAAGCAGAGAAAAGGGCCTTTATTAGGTTCAAGCACGACGACCTCGCCCAGCGAGGCAAAAACATTGTTAGTCCAGTTGGCAATATGCTCCTCCATGACGTTGGTCGGCTTTCTTGTGTCCGCCTTTTTGGCGAGCTCGATTAGCCTGCTGTGTACGTACTTGAGCTGGTTGCCGACGACGTCACCGGGGACGATGAGCGGCTGAAGGGAGCCATAACTGGCGCGGGAGGTGTTAATGATGACCCGGGACCTCCCCTCGGGCATGTCTGGGTTGAAGAAGCCGATCTGCACCATGGCGACGAGCTCACTCCATCGACGAGAGACCGGTTAGTCGCAGCAGGTGACCCTTGACCTCCTGCAGACCCGTAACCGTGCTGTCTCCAAGGCGTTGATGCTCCCGTAGCTGAAGTACTCGTGTACATGCCGGATGTTATACTGCTGCAGCTTTGGTTTTCTTAAATAGATTTTATTGAAGTACGTGTATTGCCGCAATAACTATTGTGTAATTAATTGCTTGTGTATGTAATTATTGATATGCAAATATTCCCTCAGTCCATGTATCAAAGGAGAAATACACGTAATATTAGATTCCCCTATCCTAAGTACCTATGGAAATCCATCTCAATACCAGCTGGATTATGTGAGCCTGCTTCGCTCAGTGAGGAACGAGATTGGATCAGGTCATTTCAACTCCAAACATCCTCCTGCCATCTGCTAGCCTTTTTTCTTTCTTGCCTCCATTGCTCAGCCTCACTACTTGACCACTGCCGCATCGACATTGCCGTCTGCAACAACACTTCTCTAACCCCTTTGGCCATGGTAGTAGATCCGCACACATACAGTGCTGCGTCTTCCTCTAACATGTTCTTCATGACGCTCTGGCGATGGTCAAACAACTTGTCTTGCACATAAGCCTTCTGTTCCAGTGGTCCTGAGTCGCAGGATACTGGCCGTGAGAAAGCCGTATAAATTCTTAGCGGGAATTGCGAAGCGTGTTTCGAAGCAAGTTCCGCGAATTCATCGAAGAAGAGACAATCCGATTGATTTTGGCATCCGAAGAATAGTAGCATTGGGCCAACTGCACGGCCTATCGAGGCCAGCCGTGCACGTTCATGCACGAAGGCCCGGAACGGTGCGATGCCTGTACCAGCAGCAACCATAACAATCGGCGTTTGTGGGTTGAAGGGCATCTTGAAAGACGACCGACGTATTTCAGCTTGAATGAGGCGTCCTTCTGAATAATTGAGTTGTGTATCCCTCAGGTACGTACTTGCCACTCCATGAATTAGAGTGTCGGGACATCTAGGGACTGCCTGAGGCTTCACCGAGACAACGAGGCTGACTTGTCTGGGCTCCACGATGCTGGAAGATGCTATCGAGTATAGTCGTGGCTGCATCGGGGGGGTGTGGTCGATAACAAACGAAAGAGGCAAAGAGTCCCAAGTCGCGTCAGGATGAAGAGCGAGGGTGTAGTCCATTAGCCTCGCTAATGTGAGGTAGTTGCCCTCTAGGAAATTCGAGTACGTTTCCTTGCTGTCGCTGATCCGTTGAAGTTCCATTTTAACTTCAAGCTTCGACGCCATCTGTGCGAGAGCCAGAACAGTCTCCCTTGGAACTTGGGCGCAGATGTCCAGGTGTCGTGATATCAATTCGTGAAGAGTCGTAGTGGCCGGGACGCCAAGGTCCACTAGCTCATCGTTTGACTCTATCCGCAAACAATGATTCCGCTGCGACTCTCTTCCAAGGACGCGCAAGAGGCGGTCCACTTCGTGTTCGGGATTACAAGGCCAGACAGCGATGTGGTCCCCCGTACGGTACTTGATCTGGGGATGACGAGCCAGATCGAGAGTAACAAAGACGCAAGACCGCGCAGGGTCGTCATAGCGAGAAACGGATCGACTCATGGTTATCGGAAGATTGGTAGTGCCTTTCTTGGGCTTGCTAATGCTTGCTTCATGGGCTTTATCGTCAGATGGGCTCTCCAAGGTGATCCGAACCGTCGGCTGATATCCGGCGTCGTGCTTTGAAAGGTTGCATTGGGAAACCAAGCACGAGAAAAGCGAGTCTTTCCACTCATGAAAGTCTTCGTGGGTTGTTCTGCTCGCTTCATCACCCTCCCCAACAGGCAATATTGCCCTGGCTCCGCAGCGCTCCAGTGCCGAAGCTGTGTCGTGAATGGCCTTGTTGAAGTATTGATAGCTGCTGTTACCGCAGCCAAATGCAGCAAACCGCAAATGAGACAGAGTGTTGCTGTTATTTGAGGTGTAAAAAGATACAAAGTCCTGTGCATTGTGGCTTGGATCACCCTCTCCATAGGTGGACATGACCAAGACCAGAACAACATGGTCGGAGACGTTCGCCAATGTTGATGGATCGTAATCCGACAGATCGCTCACTATGACCTTGGACTTAAATTGTTGCTGAATGTCTCGTCCAAGACGATGGGAAAGATTCTCGGCAGTTCCAGATTGCGAACCCCAGAGGATCACAAAACAGGCCTCGGATTCCCGAACCCTTTCGCCAATATCGCGTGTAATGGGAGAGGCTCGGGTCGCGGCATCTTGCCTCTGGGGCTTCTCGAAGAGAAGGTGCTCGTTGGGATTTGTCATCGGCAGCAAATTTCCTTTGTTGTAGACGAAGCTGGTGCCAAGGAGTACGGCTAGTAGCAGGCCATAATCCGTATAGGTAGTGTTCTCCAAGAGCGTCGTCATTTTGAAGTGAACTGCGTGAGTGTGAGGGTACTTTGATTCAAATAATGATGAGCATATTTCCAAGCAATGGGAATATATTTTGTCTTTGAACAGACTGCAGCCTCTGTTCAAATAAGATTCAATTCTACACATTGATCACGCTCCAGGCTTTCGGGGTTTGCGCTGCACCACGCTAAGATCAACCCCGCCTGTGTTACAGAGGTCTTGAATCCCGAGGGTTATTCTACCCGTTCGAGCTAATAGTAAATGTGTGCAACCCCCCCCCAGAGCAAGGCACGTGCAAGTCCTTAGACGGGAATCCCAAGGGTTATTCTACCTGTTTCGGTAAAGCTCAAATGCCAAGCAACCCCTCCATGTGGAGCAGGGCTCTCAACATGGCAAAGCACTCCGACTGCGATCAGCGCTACATGCCCCGCCCCCGCCTGAAAAAGTGATACCCCACACTGTTAAAGAATCACACATGATATATTTAAGAAGACAAAGCAAAGGGTCATCTTCACCATTTAAGCACGCTGGAAGCATTGAGTATCGCGGTCAATATTACTTGCCTGGATGCAGAATAAGCTTCCGCAAGCACAACCTCACTTTTTTCCGTTTCTGGCTGTTTATCAGCTCATAGCATTTTTTATATCTTCAAGACCTTTCATATTTCCCCATCATGCCACTGTTACCACTGATCGCAGTGGCTGTGGTGCTATCAGCTACCCTCACACGCCTATTCGTTTTACCCTTTGTGTACTACCTCCTGGACAGAAAGGGCCTCCGACGGTATCCAAATTATTCTTGGCTGTCACCCCTGACTGACTTGCGACACTGCTATCTAAGTTCGCAAGGTCGGCGGTCGAGAGACCTCACAAAAGAGCATATCCGACAAGACGCGAAAATCTTGAGAATCGGCCCTAACGCTCTGTCGTTCAATCACCCGGAGGCCATTAAGGACATATATGGCCACAGGACGAAATGTGTGAAAGACAAGAAGGAAAGCATTCTGGCTGGCACACATCGCCAACTGTTCGACGTCGTCGACAAGGCCGAACATGCGAGAAAGAGAAAGCTTCTCTCCGCTGCTTTTGCCACCAAGAACCTCGAAAACTGGGAATACAAGGTCAACTACACTGCGCAACGCCTGGTCAGAGCATTCGACGAGCGATGCATAGAGCCGCCTCTGGCCGCGAAAGGTGTGTCTCGTACCCAGGATGCCGCCATCGATTTCAACCACTGGATCAATCTGTGGACTATTGAGGCAATCAATCTCATTGCCCTGTCTTCAAAGATGGACTTGCTCGATACCGGCACCGACGCGGTGACAGCGGAGAAACTGGACGGCACCCTTTATACTGCCAGGTATCGCTTTTCTCAGAACAACAGCGCAATTGTCAAATCGGTCTTCTGCTGGGATTACGATCTGTGGCCGTGGCTCGCCTGGATTACCCAGATCGTGCCTAGCAAATGGAAGCAAATCTGGAAGAACAGCTCCGCTTGGGGCGACATCACATACCACCAGGCCAACGAGAGATTGAGGCGATACAAGGCAGGGGAGGACCTGGACGATTTCTTCACCTGCCTCATGAATGACAAGTCTGGCACGCCAAACTTCCTCGATTGGGGAGAGATTGTTGCCGAGGTGTCTGCCATTATCGACGCCGGGGCCGAGACCACAGCAATCGCTTTGACGAACATTATGGAACTTCTGATCAAACACCCGGAGAAACTGGCCACTCTGAGGCAGGAGCTGTCCAATGTACTCCATGAAGATGATGTTGTCGCTCCTTACGACAGTGTCAAGGACTTGCCATATCTCAAGGCCTGCCTCGACGAAGGCTTACGTCTCAGTCCACCGACGTCCTCGGGATTGCCACGTCGAACCCCTCCAGAGGGTGCATCTATCATGGGCGAGTGGATCGCCGGCGACACCAGCGTATCGATGACAATCTATGGAGCTCACCATGATCCGACCATTTATCCCGATCCGGATGTGTTCATGCCTGAGCGCTGGTTGGATCCCGCGGAACGCAAAAGAATGGAACCATATTTTATTCCCTTTTCAGCTGGAGCTAGAGGATGCATCGGGCGCAACATATCGTATTTGGAGCAGATGGTCATCACCGCCACGATTGTCCATAGATACGACTTTACCCTTCTCGCGCCGGACTTCGTGAGTGAGAGATTTGAGGCGTTCAACATGATTTGCGGGCCTCTGCCTATTCTGATCTGGCGGCGAGACGCGGCTACTTATGGAGATAAAGAGGGTGCATGACTGCAAGACTGGCTTTGAAGATAACACCAAGAAAGACTTTGGTTCGCGATTAGATGTCCAAGTGGTGGGCTTGTTTGCTAGTCGTGACTTGAAGATGGGTTTATTTTTCATGCGTGACCGAGAGAGGTTTAGAACAGTATGCATATAGAACTTCAATGCAATCTGGTGTTACTTGCCCATGTTATTCATGTAACTCATTTCGAGTGGACTGCTGACTAGGTATGAGCACCGGACTACTACATCCTGAGCGTACAGAGTCACCATAAACTGAATAGATGGGTTGCTGTAAGATAATGTGAAAGGAAATATCCTCCTTACCTCTCCTCGATTTCATATCCATCCAGCTCGGCCCATTGACGAGTAAGCACAGCGATCAGCGGTGCAGTCTTCCACTGTATCTGTTTTTTCACCGTCTCCAGATACTGGATAGTGTGTTCCCTTTCCATACGATTCCGAAGGACGTAGCCGCCTTGGAGAGTTAGAGCGTCGCGTCGAGAGTCATACAAATGGTGGCTTAAAATGCTTACAGAGCTGTAGCATGTGGCACGGCAGGTACCACGCATTCAAAGCCTGTTCGTTAGACAACGCAAGACCCATCAATACGCATAAGGAGGATGCGATGAACTTCTGCAAATCAGTTTAGACAAAGAATCTCTATAGGAGAAGATCCGACGGACAGCAACCAACCTCATTAGTTCTTATAGCCTTCGTGGCTTCGAACCCGGTGCTAAGGGGATTGTTAGACTGATGGAGATTAACAATGATCTGACCAGAGTAATAGTGCTGCAAGGCTACGGCTGCAAAGGTTAGGAAAAGTCAACGGATGTCACGGAGATAGATAAGCTTGGGATGTCTTACTTGCCAGCGTTGAAGCCATCCACATGCGCGGGAACGGTTCACCACCGTTAGCATCGGGCGGTTCATAGTAGATCGGGTTGAAAGAGACCGGTTTCAAAGTGAACCACATGTCCAGTTCCTCCTGCAGAATCTTCCAGTCGTCATCAGGGGGAGATGAGCCCACATTAATGGGCTGTTGGGGAAAATAGTGCAGCACAATCCGGGCGAGAAGATACACGACTCTATTCGCATAAGATGTGTCGTCGGCCTTGCGAAATGCAGTAAGATTCTCATACACGCGAAGAGGGATATTTAGATGCTGCCGGTGAACGATGGCGATATATATAGCCTGGCGTAGGTGAACCCAACAGGCAGCTTCTGCGAGGCCACCCTTGGTAGCCAGGCGGGTGATAACCTCTTGACCTAATAGAGTACTTGTGCCGTTGAGATGATACGTGAGCGAGTCTGTCTCTGTATCATTTTCCTCGTACAGTCTCGAGAGGACAACGGCAGCCAGAAGCGTGGCATCATATGTCTCAGCCGGCTTGTTCAAGAGCCCAATCAACAGCTCCATGCACCGGCCATGATAAAAGGCACTCTCAATGTCGGCACTAGTGCCACTAGGACCATTGGCGAGTCTATCAAAACGGCTTGCTAATCCCAGAATGCCGTTAAGCAACACATCGTGCTCAAGAGCCAGCCTGGAAACTGTGACAGCGAAATGCCTCTCGTCGTCGAGCGCATCTGACTGGCAGGTTTGTCAGTGATTCTCTATCACGCTGCGTCGCTGATTTCTGATAGATACATACAATCAAGGCAATTTTCTGCACCCACATCCGGTAAAGAAAAGCCTCGCGCTGCGTCAGCTCACCCGACGTACGTGCACTTGCCGGCGACCATGGAGCGATGCTGTCTCTGGCCTCGACTGCTGCATCCGTCAACGGGACAGACTCTCGCCCGGAAGTCAAAGAGGTCTGGCTCTGCGTCTCGGGGTCCGGGTCCGGGTCAGGGTCAGGGTCAGGGCCAGGGCCAGGGCCAGGGCTAGCTCCGTGTTCTTCGGGACTCTTCCCACCCCAGTCAACACGGGTGATATCGGAAAACTTGGAGGGACGGAATTGGAAACTTGGACTCAGTGTGCATTCTTTGTCTGTCTCATCGCAGCCACTGCATCTAGTCGCGCCTGGCCGTATGATGCATTTTCGATGGCGTTTGCGGCAGGACTCGCAACTTCTCTTGGGTTTCATCGTAATCCGAGGCTTTGGGCGAAGAAAAGGTTGAGAAATCAAGTATCCCGCGGGTTGGACGGCTTCGGTGCGGGGGACGAAGACTTGACCAGAGACTCGAATCGAAGCCTGATGGGAATATGCCGCCCGTTGCCGGGCTTGAGTGCGGGGAACCAGGTAGGAAGTGGACCCTGCCCGACTATGATCCGTGATCTTGACCTTTAAGTGCGATCTGTATGGCCAATGATCGTCACCCTGGCCCACAGCTTCGTCACAGGACTTTCATCGCGGGGTAGACTCCGTTCTCCGCATTACCCCAGGATTTCCCCAGGTTGCACGTCGAATCCCGCGGGTTATGTTACCCAATCCAGTATCCAACGTCAAAGCGTAGTGGATAAGAGTGCGTTCTCCAGAATCATAAACCGACCTGGTCTGTGCTTCAACATATGCATAAGAACCTGACGATATCCTCATTCATCGTCTGAAGGTTGCAAGTTTCCATGTGCTCTTCAGCTTCCATTCACCATGCCTGGCGAAACATACAAGAAATCCTCCGACCACAATGGCCACGCTGTTGCTGAGACCATTGAGTCTGCCGAGACCCATCCGGCCGACTTGGTGGTGAGGCCCGACCTCAACAACATCTCGTATGGACCGACTGGCCTCAGGGGCATCGTGCAGTCACCGTACGTTTTCTTCGCCGCTTTACTCGCATCCATGGGAGGCTTTTCCTTCGGATACGACCAGGGCGTAATCTCTATCATCAACGTCATGCCCCAGTTCCACCGCGTCTTCCCCGAGGCCAAGAGCGGCTTCGGCAAAGGCTTCATGACAGGCATGCTCGAGCTCGGTGCTTTTCTCGGGTGCATCTTCATGCCTTGGCTTGCCGATAAGATCTCAAGGAAGCGTGCACTTTCTGCTGTGGTCGTGATCTTCAACATTGGCGCTATTCTTCAGACGGCTGCTGTCAATTACGAGATGCTCGTATTGGGCCGTACCGTCGGCGGTATTGGCGTTGGCGCACTTGCTATGGTAAGCCACGATATCCTTCCACATGCACTGACTATGTTCCTAACGCCTGCAGGGTGCTCCACTGTACATCTCCGAAATTTCGCCTCCCAATCTTCGCGGAACTTTGCTGGTACTCGAATCTGTTTCGATCGTCTTAGGCGTTGTGGTGTCATTTTGGATTACCTACGGTGCACGAGACCTTGCCGGCGAGGTCGCCTTCCGTCTCCCGTTCGGCTTACAAATGGTCTCGGCCACATTAGTCGGCATTGGGATCAATATGTTTCCCTACTCGCCGCGATGGCTTGCCATGGTAGACCGGAAGGATGAAGCACTTGCAAGCCTCGCCAAGCTCAGGCGACTTCCAGACACGGATGAAAGGGTTCAACAGGAGTTTCAAGGCATCATTGCAGAAACCCGATACCAGCAGACCGTTCTCAAACGCCGCCACCCCAATGCCCAGGGTCTCACTCTTGAGGTGAAGACATGGCTCGATCTCTTCAGCCTGAAGTTGTGGCGCCGTGTCATTGTCGGGTGTGGTGTCATGTTCTTCCAGCAGTTCTCCGGCATCAACGCTTTCATCTACTACGCACCAACGTTGTTTCAGACTCTTGGCCAGGACTACGAGATGTCGCTCATCATGTCCGGTGTTTTCAACCTCCTACAATTAGTGGCCGTCGGCCTGTGCTTCCTGATCATTGACAAAGTCGGACGACGCCCACTGGCTATCTTTGGTGGCATCGGAGGATGCGTTTCTTGGGGCATCATGGCTGCGCTAGTTGGCGTCTATTCCAAGACCTGGAACTTACATACGGATGCCGGTTGGGCTGCGGTAGCCATGGCGTTTCTTTTCATTCTCATCTACGGCTGCACGTACGCCCCACTTGGTTGGGCTCTACCGTCAGAGGTATTCCCAAGTGCCATGAGGTCCAAGGGTGTTGCTTTGTCAACGTCAACAAACTGGATCTGTAACTTTATTGTCGGAGTCGTTACACCACCCATGCTTGACTCACTGGGATTCGGCACATACATCTTCTTTGGCAGCTGGTGCGCACTCTCTGTTGTCTGGGCTGTCTTCTTCCTCGTCGAGACTAAAGGCAAGACGCTTGAGCAAATGGATGAGGTCTTCGGGGATAACATTGCCAAAGAGGAGCAGGATCTGGTTATAGTGGGTGCATCAGAGAGGGTTCTAGGAGACAAGTTGTAGATAGTTATTTCAGCCTCGATGTAAGGTTAGGAGGACCACGATTATATATGTATATATAGATATATATAATGAACCACAGCCTCTAGTTAATTAAGAGAGAAGTCGTCGTTCCTCCTAAGTTTACAACCAAGAAGATTTGTAGGAAGAAATACCCTTGGTCATGTGGGTCTATCTTCTAGTAATCTACATCTATAGAGCTTACTATTAGTATAAGCCACACAAAGCTATACCAGCTTCACAACAATATATATATATATATATATATAGTAAGTGTTACAGCCTTACTAGTTATGGGTAATATTAGCCCTACTGGACCCTAGAAGAGTAGGCAGCCTAGTCTTTATATAGGCTAAAAAAGGACTAGGGTTAAGCAAGGGATAACTCTATAAAACAGAAGAACTATAGTACAAGTTATATGATAACAATAAGGGATAATTAATAATAAGTAATTCTAGTAAAGGGATTAATTAGTTAAGATGGCTTTATAGTAAAAGACTAATAGATAGCTATTACTCTCCCACTTATTATTAAGACTATAGACTTATATATAGGATAGAATTGGATATACTTAAGAATAGACTTCTATAGCTTTCTGCTAGGTAACTGTCACGGCGCTGGCAGGAGCAGTGCCTAGACACCTGCCTACTTAAGTGTGGTTGTTCTAAGACCTTCTAGTCTTAGAATTCTGTATCCTTTTGCGTAGATGCCACAGTGGAATACGCACAGCTAAGGACAAGTCAGCAGTGTGACCACCACTGCAGCAGCCTGGCTGCCAGTACGTGACATAAGTTTTAAATGTTAGTCTATAATATAAAATGCTTCTTAGTTGTTTATCTTTTCTATTACTATATTACTTCTACTCTAGTTCTTTTACTTCTTAGTTAGTTCTCTGTTTGTTTTCTCAAAGGTTAGTCTAGATCTACTCTACCTTACTGTATTACTTGTTACCTATTAGGTGCCAGAGGCCAAAAGGGGCACAAGAACAAGGGCCCACAGATATATACATAGTCACGTACCCCCTCTGCCCCCCTAGTATATTAGCAGCCTCTTCGTAACATTACACAATGGGGATTCAGTAATAGATTCTCTACTCACTTATACCTATTCTTTATATGCGTAAAATCGCTTGTAAATGCTTTCTTGTTTCTTTTTTCTTATTTACTGCTTTAATACCAGTTTACTTACGTTCTCTGCGTAGCTTTGTTCTACCGCTGCGCACCTTCACACAACGGCACCCTCAGCTTATTCACCCTGTCAGATCTAGAACAGCTGCCAGGAAGCCTGTGTCATTAGGTAATAATACTGCTTTAGATAGATCTAGCATACTGAAAATGTCAAATAAAGCTGAAAATTATATATACAAGTAGGTAGTAAGGTCAAGGAAAAAGGGAGTGATAGAAGTTGTAATAGTATGTAGGATGTAGGACTATATGATAACTATAGTAGGGCAGTTATGGCAGTCAATTATGCCCCTGCCCACCTAAGGGGGGATTACTCTTAGATGGGGGTGCGTTCATGCCAGGAATTCGGATTTTGGCGTAGGGTGTTTCGGCTTTACTATAGTAGAGGTCTTCTTCCTCTTGCCTACAGGCCCCATTTTGCACCATCACGAGATGAGTTTTGTGGTTCTAATGGTGAAACTGGCGACCATGACGTCCCGTGGGAGACGTTGCAAGGAATGGGCATGTTAAACCCGAGTTCCATCGACCAATGTTGTCGTAACGATCAGTGGCTGGAAATAGAATAGAGTTCAGACGTGACGGGCATGCAGGGATGTGAAACTAGACAGGGCTGTATGATATGGCTTCTGAGGCGCATATAGAGTATCGCTGCATAAGGTAAAGATGTGGTTATTCTGTAACAGAAGTTGGTCTGCGAGGCTACAATCCAGATTCGGCCTCAAGAAAAATGTATGCTTGATTCAATAATGCGCCCTAGATAAACTTAGAGCGTCAACATTGCAACCCCCTTTCCCCCTTTCTTTAATAAATAGACTTAATAAATAGACAGGTTAAAAGTTTTGATCAGTTTTCTTTTTTTCATCATGGGTACAACAGATTTTGATGCATAATTTAAAACAGATAATTCTCACAATTAGACAGGCGATAAACCACATACAAGGCTTACAGAGGGGGGTGAGACACACGGAACGACTGCCACGATATCATAATCCGCCACGGATGTCGTGAGTCAGGGTTCCCCGGGGTCCCCCCAGCTTTCTGACACGGGATTCCCGGCGTCTCCACAGCTGGAGGAAGAAGAGGAGGAGGAGGAATAAGAAGAAGAAGAAGAAGAAGAAGAAGAAAAAGGTATAGAATGCCGGTCCCCAGCCAGCTGAATTGTGGGGTTCCCGCCCCGCCCGTGAAAATGCTAAGAGTAATATTGGACGGAAGTCTATCTGGCCCTACGTCCCGTCGTGTTCACTCGCCTTGCCTCAGCTGGCAACCGACTACGCAGTGGGGTTACATCTACGACATACCCTTAGCTGAAGGAATCTGCGACGGCTGCAGCGGGGACATGGCCCCGGTGTGCCGATGGGTTACAATGTAAAGCGACGTGGAACTCGTTTGTTTGAGAGATGTCTTGAAATCTGGGAATATGCCCTTGTTGCTCTCTTGGCCTTGAACCAAAAAAACGACGACCGGACCTCTGCTTGGGATCCGGCTGTCTCGCCCTGTCGTGCATCGTCACGCACCAGTATAAGAACCCCCTATCGGTCTCCCTTTTTCTCTTACATCTCGAATCCGCACACCACCAACACAAGCTTATTATCCAAAACCCGCAACATCTCAATCAAACCAACCCAAACCAAACGTTCCCATAAAAACCAAGCCTTTTCAACATTACCATGCAGTTCAAGCAATCCATTCTCGTCGTCCTCGCTGGCCTGCTGTCCCTGACAGGTAAAATCCGCAATGAACCCCCTCTCCCCTCTAGTGAGATATTACCGTGGTCGCTAACATTTTTCATTTCGAAAGTGGCCTGCAAAGATGCCCAGGGTAACGATGGTGTCTGCAAACCCCCTAACTTCTGCTGCAAAGAGGATAGCACGCAGTGCGTCTTCGACGACAGCTGCAGCAGCTGAAGGCTCCGATAGTGGTTTGATCTCGAGTGGGCATTTATCGGGTTTTGATTGGAACGAGTATCATGTCTTATGCTTTGTTTTGTTTTCTCTTTTGTCGAACGTCTAGTTTTCCAATGTTATGATTATTATCGTGCCATTTGTGTCTTATTCATGCACCATGCCTTTGCAATTTATTTTCTGTCTTATCAAGTGCAAGCCTTTCCACCTTGGCCAAACAATGGTTTTTGCCTCATGAGTTGATCTTCAGCTCGCATGACGTCCATGTTTCTTTCACTCCTTGCTACGCATTCTTTGCGGCACGGGTCCGGTCATCGGATGTCAGGCTCTAATCAGCCTCATGTACCAATTGGTGCCCAAGAAGGCGAAGATGTGCCACCGCGCGTGCAGCTCCAAGAGCCAGGCAAGGGGCAGAACCAGATCCCCCCGCGCGGCCAGCATCTCGGCGCAGTACTCAATGTCGATGTGCCATAGGGTGAAGCCCTCGTCAAGAACAAGTCCCAGGACCTGACACTGTCAAATGTCCTTGGTTCCGTAAGCGGGCAAATGCCGAATCACAGATTCCAGTGGCTACCTAGCCGCGCCATGGACCTAGCTAACGAGAACAAGAGCCTGGGTGCCAGCCTACTTGCCACGTGCGAGAAGCAGGATAACGAGGCTAGCATGACGCTACGGGCCTGCTAAAAAAGCATTGTGCTGTTCTTAAAGTTTGACGTTAAGAAGCAGGCTCTTTGCGAGACAAGATTGGTGCTTGAAGCTACCGAAAGGAGCCGCGAGCTGCCCGCACACTGTCTCGAGGTCTAACTTGACGCCCTGGGCCTCAAAACTAAGGTGCCCGGGGTGGCAAAGGACTTGAGCATGGAGGCCGTCGATATGAGCGCCGCTACGGCTTTGAGCTGGTCAAGCACGTGTCTTTGCGCCAAGTTCACCACATAGCCCTACTTAATGCACCTACGGCAGAACCACACCTGAAAATTTGCCATCCTCGAGGTCATCTATGACCTCAACTTCTCCGGCAATTACCTTCGCCGCATCAAGAGCATCTCAGTGAGCATTTCGTGTCTTGTGGAGCCCGACAACTCAGTCGGCGCTGTGCTTGGGCCGGCATCGCGTAAACCCTACTCCTGGGTTCCGGCGACTACGCCGAGGACCCCGCGAGTGCCGCCAAGGACCCCGGCTTCTCAAAAAATGGACATCCCGACCAGACCATAGGCACATCGTCTGCCGTCAACAACTCTAGCCAGTTCCAGCTGAGCTTCCGCGACGAACTACGTGCCCTTCAAGGGCGCCAGCGCCATAGCAACTGGTCCCTAGAACTGCCCACTGTGAATCTTCAGGAGTGCGACCTAGGGAGCGAGTCTTACAACCTAGCAAGGGTGGATCATACAAAGCCTTTAGCTCGCGGCCGGAAATCAAGAAATCTCACCTGGAGCAGAAAGCCCAGAAGGTGGGGCCTTAAAGCATTCCATAGGTGTATATGGGTCTGGTTAGGTAATCGTGATGGTAGTTAACAAGCAACTCGTTTAGGCCCAAGCCGATTAATGTTATCAATTTCATCGACTTCTAGGTATTTGGATTCGTTCCCGGGTGGAGTGCAGCTACCAGGCCGGCAGGCTGCGGTTGCTGAGCGGAGTAGTACAACGACATGGCACAGAGCTGGTTACGGTGGCGGGCATGCTGCATCAAAGTTGCGTTCATCGACTGCAAGCGCACTGCATGCAAGTGTAAGGCGGCAAGGGTTGAATTGGATTGGAAGCAAATAGTTTGATAAGTGCGGCGCGAAAAGTAAGTTTTGGGTCTTTCTTACCAGCTTGGAGTCTAAGCATAACTGAGCTTCGTTACCAATTGACTGCACTGTTGTTGGTCGAGGAATGAAAGGAAACGTTCAGATGGTCACGTTGGAACGGTTAGGTGGCACACTCACTTATCAAATACATTAGCGTATAAGAATATTGAACTCGGGGGCTCACATGTCAATTAGATAACAGAGGGGAAACAATAGGACCTAGGCTTAAAACAGCCACGATGCCAGTAGCGCGTAGGTGATAGTATTGTAACTGTGGTTAATCTACTAGTTCCAGTCTATTAAAGTCGTCGTCACTAGGCGTCGGGTTAAATGACTCGTTTGATGTCTCGCATCTGTGAGAGGCTAACGTACTCGCATCTCCCTAGACATTTTACTATCCCTTCATTTACACTAGAAGTTGTAAGCAAGGATTGAGATGATATAGTATGTACAGGTGACTTACGCAGAATATAAAATAGTTTGTACCATCGCGGATCTCGGAGCCAAAAATTTTGCAATCTTCTCCAGCGGGAGGGACAGGCCCTTGAGCATCATTGTATTCAGTGCACTACACGTAGGGGCTAGTTAAACAATGAACTTGTTGTTAGGTATAGTTATACACTTACTTCCTTAGCATTAGTATACCCGTTTTGCTTATTACTTGTTAGTAAGAATACTAATACTAACGCTAGGGGACTTACAACTCCACTACAACGGTCCGCTGGTCCATCTGAGCAAGCAGAAGCAGACCCTAAAAGGAGAGCCACAGCAAGAGCAATGTAGGATCGCATGTTTTCTTCTTAAATGTGGATTACAAGATGTAGAGGATGCACCGTCACACATTGAGCCATGGGTTAGAGGCAAGCTATTTATACTTTTAGGGATGTAGCTATGCGCTGGAGGTAAGTATTCTATATCAGTAAGAGTAATGTGTTGTAAGGATTGTTAGATTAATTTCACGAGAGTTTACGTATATACTTTATTAGTTACCTGTTTATTAGTGATTAAGAGAGCTTTGGAGTTAACTAAAGTTTAAAGTGCTACCATGCACCTAGGGTGATAACAAACGCTTGATATTTCTACTACGGTATCAGGCTAAAGTTAAACCCCCTCGTCATGCCAGTCTGGCCGTACTTTTTCCGATTATTTTAGCGACAGTACTTCAAGGTTCTTATGTATGATGTGCATCAAGCATCAAGTCGGTTAGGGAGAGTCTCTACGTACGTAGGTTAACTCTTTCCTACCTAATTAGAAGTTGATACTTACCTTTCACACTCTAGTAGTAAAAAAGAAACCCCTATGATCCTAGAGAGTACTATGTAGATTACATAGTTGTTCGATAAAATAAGTGTGTAGTTGTATTGCCTTTATAGGTACTATATATTATCTGTTGGCACCTAGTAACAGAAGATGGATCCTAATACGTAGTGACTCTTACGCCGCATAAGTAGGCCAGTCAGTCGCGTTGCATATAACTAGAGACAGGGACAAACATGTAGACATTAGTGCCGCGTTATATGTAGGTTAGTTAGGTGTGAAGCTGACAAGGCAAACTTATTTATCAGGTTGTTGCTAGTAGTACCACCGGAGTTGCCAATCCTTACTAGTTATAGGCCGCGGAGTAGTAGTCTGCATCATAAATTTCCGTTTTCCTTGTACCTCTCGGTCCACTGAATTCCAGCCTCCTTCATCTGTTACTTGTAGACTTAGCAAATTGACCTTAATGACAGCTTTCTAAATGACTAATGAATCCCTTATTTACTATTTTATAGACTGCGTGTATTAATTAATATAATTGATTTAACTTTGACTAGTAACTATTAATTAAACTAACTTTACACTTAGTACAGGGTGGCAGGGGGAAATAAAATACCCCAGTTATGTAATATCGATACACAGTCCAGCTGGCTAGGCTAGTAGACAGTACTGTAATCCCCGCTACTGAAATAAGTAGGGTGGTGAGTGTTAGGTATTTTATTTCGGCCTGGTACCATAGTATATTTACGTTTGATACTAATATATATGAAATACCTTAATTTATTGCTACGAAGGAAACAGTTGTTGAATGTGGTGAATGTCACCAAGAATAGACAGAGACCATGGTCCATAGGGGTCTTGCTGAGCATTCGACACAACGCCGCCACGCATGGCCTACGGCGGCCACTTCCCCGATACAGAGGAGCTGACGCATATGTGCCAGACCGACTGCCTCCAGGCGCTCGAGTCGCTGCGTCAGGCCCAGACAAGCCGATGCGCCGATGACGTCTTGGTGGTCGACGGCTAGCCTGCACTTGCACTCGTGACCGTCTCGGTCGACACCTTGATGTGGGTGTACAACTACACGTGCCGCCGTGACGCGCGAACGGGAGACTTTTGCGCCCCCGTCTTCGATGCGTGGGCCAGTGACACCAGCGGCGAAGGCAAGCCAAGTGACGACGGGAAATCCTACAAGCACGGCGGCCACTCCGACAAGCACAAGTCCCGAGCCGGACAAGTCTTGTGTCAGCACCTACACCGTCCAAGCCGGCGATGTTGACTGCCACTCCATCACCGTGTCCCAGGGCGTGTCTCTCAACCAAATGCTCTACTTTAACAACCTTCAGTCAGGCTGCGCTGACTTTCCCACGGGGGCCGGGACGCAGCTCTGCATGTCGCACACGTGCGAGAAGTACACGGTACAGCAGAACGACACGTGCACAGGGCTAGTACAGCAGTTCAGATACGCCTTCACTCAGTCGCAACTCGTGGCGTGAAACGTCGATATCAGCTGCGGCTGCGACAACCTCGCGCTGCTCGTGGGCGCGCAGATCTGTGTCAGCTTCCCCGGGGACGTGACCAGCACGCCGATCACGACACGTCCGCCACAGTCGAAAACCGTGGCACCAATCCCGACCAACGTCGTGGAGGGTACCAACACGCGCTGCAGCCGCTACTATGAGGCCAAGCCTGACGACACGTGCGGGTCCGTCTCGACTAACCAGGGCATCGCGCTGCAAGACTGCGTGGCCGCCGTGAGGGACATCGGCACGTATACGGGCTACAGCGGCGGCAGCGGCCCGACAAACCCTTGTGTGGCCGGTACGACCGTGGCCGACGCGTCCAGCTGTTATGCCACCACGTACGCAACCACGGATCTGTGGACGTTTCCCGTCCTCAACATCACCGCCAGTACCACCTCCACTGCGACCAGCAGCTGGACTTCAGTCTCCGTGACCCCCGTCGCCCCCTATCCAGTCACCGAGTCCGCCGAGCCGATGCCCACGCCGCACCAGGCAGGAATGGCAAGCGGATGCACCGACTTCTATAAGGTCGTCGAGGGTACAACGTGCGCGGCCATCCTGGACGGATTCGCCATCAGTTTTGTCCCCTGACGTGGGTGACAACTGCCAGTTCCTGCAGCTCGATGTCTATGTGTGTCCAGCATGGTTCGACTTCAACAACAACCATGGCAGCAACCACCAAGACGACAACAAGCGCGACGGCCACAAGCAGCAGCAGAAGTAGCGTCTCAGCACCGCCTGGCCCGACACAGGCCGGCATTCCGGCCGATTGTAACAAGTGGATCTTGCAGCAGGATGCCGTGTATTGTGGCGACATGGCCCGTAACGCCGGCATCAACCTAGCGTGCCTGTACAAGTTGAACCCAGCGCTGAACACGGATGCGGGCGAGTGTCAGGGTTTATGGCCAGGATATGCGTACTGTGTGGGAACCAAGGGGGGTGCGTGTTCATGATTTTGATCCAAGCCCAACAACATGTGCCGGCTGGGGTGAGGAGCGTGCAGCTATGGATCTATCAGTGTAATATTGAACCACATCTAGATCTAGACTGGCATCCCTATTCCCATAACTCTAGTTTCCTCAAACAAGGTACATCGCGAGCTCCCACCCACTTCTGGAAGTCCTCCTCTCGCACCGACACAAAGGCCCTCTCGTAGCTCTTCTGCGCACATGCCCAGAGCGTCTCTAGGGGCACTATGACGTTGCCTCGGTCGGGCTGCCGCGCCGCGTAGAAATTGTTGACTAGTTGTTGTAGCCGCACGCGCATGTAGCCTGGGTATGCTGCTGGTTCTTGCTCTTGCATTACGTCCTGGCCCCCCTCCTGTTTGCCGTCGCGATATTGATATTCAGGATCCATAGCCCATACCCACATGTCATCAAAAAAACTGCCCCCCTTTGCCCCGTGCAAGGTTGAGTGCGCAGAATCCTGGCCCACGACCAGAAAGACGTCCTGAAGGGTCCCCTCGGGCAGTGCATCACGGACCGTTTGGAAGTCCCTCCGCAGCGTCTCGAACAACGGTCCACGTTTGTGCTTGTCAGTGTCCCCCCCTGCAGGTCACCCTATTCGATGCAACGCCCAATTCGCCTGCCCCTTCTTTCCCTTCGCCACAGCTGAATGATCGCGTGCCCATTGTGTTGATGCAGTCACGCGGGACTGGAAATCATCATTACCATCCGTTGTTGCGTCGGGGTCGTAATAGACTGCGTATCCCCATTCCGCCTTTGGCATACTTGTCTCCGACATCAGTCACCGAACCCACTCCTGCTGCGCCGTCTCAAACCCCTTTTCCTCCTCTCCCGCCAGTTTCTTCCTCACCTTGAGCAACATCTCGAACGTGCTGTTCGCGTGTTCCTCTGAGGTGTCCGAAGGCGGGTGAGGAGTGATCAAGGAGTAGCAAACGGTCAGAAGGGGACACGACCGTGTCGCCCGAAAGTATGGCGGACTCGAGTTGGGGGAAACGGGCAATGATGTCGGAGAGTTCGTCCAGGCCTAGTTGAACCCGAGTAAAGGACGGTATGAGTTGCTCCATTTGGGTGAGGTGGTTCGACTTTTTGTAGAGGACCGCAGCAGTCTTGGAAACAATATTACGGTATACTATATTGTTACCGAAGTGATGGGTGAAGAAGAAACAAAGTCAGTTGATAATAGTAACTGGCTGACGACGGTGAAGTGAAGTGGCTGGGGAAAGCTGGCCAAACCAGCAACCTAAGAGAGTCACGTGACCATGAAAGGCTCAACACCCAGTACTGATGTCAGCCCTCTTGTAGCTATTGCGAGGTGGCAGAACTGATGGATGGCTTGTAATTGTACGGAACACCTACCTGCAGGAACATACCTCAGTACCTATGGGTAGCCTAACGCGGTTATGTGAACTTGTTAGATAGTATCGCAAGCTGCATCAGTGCGTAGAATGGGAGACTGGTCTTTGAACTAAATGCGCTGGTCTTAACAAAGGTTGGAGTTGACCAATAGTATGTGCCCACACCCACCAAATCCGCCCATCTGATAGATTAACAGGCTTAAACGCAGCGCATGGAACGGGCCGTCACCGGAACCAAGATTCCAGTCAGCCCTGCAGCATACCGGGATTTACTCCAAAGCCCCTCAGTCGCCTTGTGACAAATCAGTTTAGGCAGAGAGGCTTAGGAACTAATTTTCAAATATAAGAGCGCTTAGTTTTAAAGGTTTCCCTAGAGCGAACTTCAAACATTAGCCTAATAGATAGCTTCTATACTATTGAGTCGATTCTGAAAGTGGTTACTTGTCTCAAGTGTTGTTGCCTCCTGAGTCTTGTTTCTAAGACTTCTGGTATACTATATCTTGATCATTATCACACTCTGCTTTTACATACGACCATACCCACTGGAGAACTCGGGATCCCGTCCGCTCTCCCATAGATAAGCCAGTGAGGGCCGGATTAGTAGTTGGGTCGGTGACGACCAGCGAATACCTGGTGTTGTATGTTTTTGTGTTTTGTAGCATTTTAGAAAATGTTTTACGTCTTGCGCGATGACAGTTATTTAAGAACACGACGGTTATTAGAGCCTGTCTGCTTGTAATAGAATTGATGTCTTACTGGCCCTAATTGAAGCGTCTCGCTTCTCAGGCAAATGTGACTGTGTGCTACCTGCAGGATCATCAGCACACAGATTCCTGCATTGGACAAACAGAGTCACTGCTACAGCGGCTTGCTGTAAATGTCAAGCCAGCTACTTCAGTGCCCGACCTCGCGCGGGGGGAGTGTTAACCGCGCAGCTTGAGCGGCAACACCACACTCCGGCTAACCGTGCACTGCTAGGGTTGTTCCTTGCTGAGTCAGTCGCTTTTTGCCCAACGAAAGTTTCTGGAGGCCGATCGACTTTGTCGCGAGGCCGAGCTGCAGCGGTTGTCCAAGATGGCAAGATTACATCCATGCATCACCGCAGCCAAGTTGCAGCATGTGAGCTCTGATTGGGAGGGCGCGTTTGCGTGGTAGACAAAAGCACTTGTCGCCATCAACAAGTGTCCTCTGATGAGTGGGCACGCGAGTCATGATGTACCTTTCACTTTGCGATGTGCTTAGGCGTCAGGGCCAACAGGAACTTCAGCAAGCCTCCCGTGCGCAGGTGGCCAAACTGGAAGCATTGTCTCAAAAGGCAGAAGCGATACATTGCATAGCCGGCCTGCGGCACTGGCGTATGTACCTCGAATCCCATGCTCTCTGATACAGGAGCAGTAACAATAACAGTGGCCTCTTTAATGTCACACCAACCTGACTTGCTGGAAACGACTCTATGCCTGGACGAAGCAACTAACAGGCGCTAGTCCCAACGCGGTCAGCCTTTGTACGCCGTTAAGATCTTAAATCAATTAAACTTAACCGATTTTACAGCGGATTGGCGCACAGACAGTTGCATGCAGGCCGACCCCGCCGCCCCCTTCTAGCCGCTATTCAAGGAAACACGACATTCCCAAGCGGGCATATATCAACAGGAGCTGGCACTGTATGTAGGTGTGCCGCCCCATTCCATTTCGTACATCCTGCCGAAACATGGTAAACTTGGCACAAACGTGACCGTGGGCAAGTATCATCGCCAATTCGATTTTTGATCACTTGTAAATACCTGCAAGCTCATTGCACCGCCCCACTTCCATGATTACTTGCCTACGAGATCATGATCTTATGTGTGTTCCAGCACAGGAAAGTCAAAGTACAGCGCCGTGGAGGTTGGGTTATATGATTATCGCTGCTTTGTTTTAATCATGGAAAGTGTCACCTATGCACCTTGCCTGCCAGATGCGAAGGTCAATAGTTCGGCAGGTACTTGTCATATCCCATACATTAATATAATGGCATTTCCTTACCTTGCATGATTGTGTTGGTGCTGGTGCGGCTAATGTAGCCTTGTAAGATATAATAGGCGTTGCTCAACGACCAATTGGCTCCCAAGAGGGTCGCGTCAACATCAATCAAAATTTCCAGCCGTCCTGTTGTAAGTATTTGTGCCGCTTGACCAGGCCGAAATTCTCGTTAAGCACTACTCCTCATGAGTCACGACAAGGAGCAGAAGTACTTACAGCAAGCACATTGGGCGGGGCCATCGAACTCCTCTTTTATCAACACAATCTAGTAATGGCCCTGTCGATCGCCATCAGAAACTGAGGGTTTGGCGAAGTGGTAGACGTAGTAGGTTAGAGGGATTTTACATTAGCAGCACTATTTTACACATTTGGCAATCGCGTCACAGCCTGCTGAGACAGTGCACTACGCAGAGAGCTTCATAGCTGATCGGGACAAGAGCGTAGGTTGATGTGCCTAGGACACAGTAGTTTACGATTACGCAACGCCGCTGAAATCAAATGGTTAAGACACAGAAGTTTGAAAGTGGAAGGGAACGGGTAGGCGTTCACACCGTCGAACTAAATAATTTTCATGATTTGGCAAACAGCACGGCCAGACTGACAGACATTCGGAATCCGATCCAAGCTACCTGTTCATTCTCGTAAGACTTGCTTCGTCCCACTATATGCGGGGAGGTGCATTTAATATTGATGTACGGACAGGGGAGGCGAGAAAAAGTTGACGATGGAAAAACTACAGGCTTTCTATCCCTTGTCGGCACGGAGGGGCTCAACACGCTAGCGACCTGTGTTACGTAGAGCGACCGCGTTCCCTTCTTAAAAGCAGAAGCTTCCCTGGTTGGATGTGGTGATCACAATTATTTTTTCCAGGAGCAAACCTTTGTCGCCGCGTCTTGGGCAAAGACCGCTTCAAACAGCTCATCAGTGCGACTTCAATAAAAAAGTTACTAGGATGCATTTCTTCAAACTTTTCCTCCCTTCCGCCTTGGCGTTGCCGCTTCTGGATTCCGTGCTCGATCCTATCACTAGTAGTATCTGGACCACCCTGGATGGCCTCGTTCAGACGTCTCTCGGAAGTCTCGCCGGTACACTCAAGGCAGAGCAAGCCTATGACATAGTGGTAGTCGGAGGCGGCACTGCGGGTAACACTATCGCATACCGTCTGGCTCAGGCCGGCTACACTGTCGCCGTTGTCGAGGCTGGGCTCTCATATGAAGTCGGCAAGCCGATTGTTGGTCCAGCACCACTTGGCGATATCATTGGTGTGGGCTCCAACCCAGCGGACAGCATCCCGACCGTGGACTATGGCCTCCAAACTATACCACAAGCTGGCGCAGGAGGCCGCAGGATGCATTACGCTCAAGGAAAATGTCTCGGCGGCTCCTCAGCTCTGAACTTCATGATTCATCACCGGCCGAACAGGGGCGCTTTGGATGCGTGGGCGGAAGCGGTAAATGACGAAAGTTATTCTTTTGACCGATTTCTTCCATACTTCCAGAAAAGCTTCACCTTTACTCCGCCCAACGCCGATGCCAGGCTTGCCAATGCAACAACAGCGTACGTCGAGAGCGACTTCAACCCGTCCTCAAGCTCATCCATACATGTCACCTATCCCAACTGGACGCCTGTCTGGTCGACGTGGGCAGCCAAAGGCCTTGAGGCTCTCGGAATGAATTTGACAGACCGGTTCAATCAAGGAATTTTGAACGGGTACCACTACGCGCAGACGACTATTTATCCCGGTTCACAGACTCGATCCACCTCGGCTGATTTTATTCACGCGGCGAAGAATGCGAACATGGCTGATAAGCTCACGGTCTATCTGGGCACTCGGGTCAACAAGGTGCTTTTCGATGACGATAAGAAAGCCACAGGCGTCGAGGTCAGTGGGGATGGACTCACAAAATACACCATCAGCGCGAACAAGGAGGTCATTCTTTCGGCTGGTGCTGTGCATTCGCCGCAGTTGCTGATGCTATCCGGCATCGGCCCTGCTGAGCACTTGTCCAAAAACGGCATTGAAGTGCTTGCGGACCGCCCAGGCGTCGGACAGAATATGACCGACCACGCCCTGTTTGGCCCAACGTACGAAGTGATCTTTGACACTCTTACCAATGTCATAGGCAACCCCGTAGCTCTGTCAAAAGCAATACTCGACTACTCACTCAAGCAAACCGGCCCCCTTACCAGCAATGTCGCCGAGTTTCTGGCTTGGGAACGAATGCCCAGCAGCGCTAATCTGAGTCGGTCAACATGGGACCAGCTCCACGCGCTTCCTGAAGACTGGCCCCATATTGAATACTTCCCTGCAGCAGGCCACATCGGGCCCTTCGATATCCCCTGGATACAGCAGCCAAAGGATGGAAAAAAGTACGCTTCTATTATTGCTGCGTTGGCAGCACCCCTGTCTAGAGGCAACATATCGCTTGCAAGCAGCTCTCCAGGGGATCAACCCCTTGTCAATCCAAACTGGCTCACGCACCCAGGAGACGTTGAGGTTGCGGTGGCCATGTACAAACGCATCCGGGAGATATTCAAGACAGAAGCGGTCCGGAGCATTCGCGCAAGCGAAACTGAATATTGGCCAGGCTTGAATGTGGAAACCGATGAACAAATCCTGGCCAATATTCGGACGAGCGTCATGTCAGTTATGCATGCATCTTGTACTGCGCGTATGGGGCGCCGGGATGACCCTACAGCTGTGACAGATAGCTTAGCTAAAGTGATCGGGGTTGAGAGACTGCGAGTTGTAGATGCTAGCTCGCTAGCTTTACTGCCCCCAGGACATCCTCAGGCGTTGATTTATGCTCTGGCGGAGAAGATCGCAGATGACATCATTAGAGATTTGAGGACCAATTCGGACTAGCTCATGTATTTGTCACATGTGCTGAAATGCCACAGTACTAGCTTTTCTACAATTATCATTATCAACCTGGCTCAGAAGTAATTAACCCATACAAGCGAGTGAACTACTTGCATATTACAGCGTGCAGGCCTATACATTAATCGTTTCTATCGTTATAAAACTAAAGATAACAAGAAGGTAATAAATGTTAGATATATAATCATAAGGTACTATACGGAGGGAGGGACAAGGGTCTATATAACTGATCGCTATAGAGTTTAGGACAGTGAAAATAGAGCAGCTCTGCTGTTAAGAGAGCTTTCCTTTTTAATGTTACAAGTGCAAGACGTCATGTAGAATTCAAGGCACCTACAGCTGCAACTTTATAAGGGCCGGATTAGTGGTTGATTCGGGGACGAACATCGAATACCTGGTGTTGTATATTTTTGTCTTATCCCTTTGTTATTTTATTCGCTAGTCTTTCGAAGTTTACTCAATATATGTTAGTAAATACATTACTATAATGTCTGTGTTTATACACACAATGGTGGTCACTAGAACGCGGTATAGGTTATAGTGTTCTGTGTACTGTTATCGAGATTTCAAATACCAGTAGAAATCATCGTACTGTAAACACGCAGGCAAAATCGTTATATACACAACCCCATCAGCTAGAAAAGGACCGTGTCTTATTTCAGCATTTTGTTTTGCTATAGAATCATTGTTCATGTGCACTGGCACAAGACTGACTAGACAGTCTATTATCAGTGACGCCGCAACCCCCCCCTACATTTGGATGGGAACCTTGAATTCCTGTCTATTTTCAAAATCGAGCAGTGGATCAAGACGCTTGGTTAGTAAATATGTTGTAAAACAGTCCTATTCCTACTAAAACTATCCAAGGTCTTGCCCATTGAATCAGCGCACCAGGGTCAACAGGGAGAGAGCTTTGGTAGGGAGATTATCAGTTACATTATTAGGAAAGGCTAAGGTTTAAACCATCAGAGTCCGGGCTATCAAATGACTGGAAAGAGATTTACAAGTTAGAATAGTTAGACCCCATTCTGTGTCTTGCTATGTTCCATAAATGACGCTGACTCGCATGGTCTCCTTCTGCGCAACCACCGAAGTCAGCAATTCTACCATACTGAATACAGCCCAGCCTGCCAGTTTTAAACTTTTCCTCTTCTCCAGCGCCACAATAAGAAATGACCAATTTGATTTGTTATTGTCAGTTTCTTAATGTGTCACAGATGCCATACCCAGTGCTAAGATAGGATGCCAAACTAACAGCCCATGCGGAATTCCATTGCTGCTTTGCACGACTACATCGCCGGGCTTCAGAAGTGCGTCGCCACAATGCTCCTTTTTATTAGTCGAATCAGATCATCAATACCCCTTGATGAATACTGCGAACTTGTCCATCAATGTAAGCCACCACGATGTCGTCTTGGCCGAAGGTGCCTCGATACCCTCTTTTGCGAACCTGACCTGCGCCTCGAACAAGTCATCAGCTTTGTTTCGCATCCCAGCCACATGCGCAGCCCTCCGTAACTCATAAGCTTTGATGTAGGCACCGATGCTGTTCTGCACGAGCTTACGGTCCTCTACCGTTGTGACCTGCTCCTTGTCATCCAGAAGCCGCCGGTTGATGAGAATGAGGTCCCAAATCTCGACAAGTACGCCACACTCGGCGCATTCGGGGAACATTCTCTTCTCAATCTCGGACGTCGGATCTCTGCAGTAGATGTGATCTGGGCTCCATCTGTGGCATGTCCCATAGGCATGGTGGAACATGGAGAGGTAAGAGGTGCGAGCACAGTACTTATCTCCTGTCACGTAACAGGGGTGACCGATGAAACATCGGCGATGAGAGGGATGCGTAGCCTCCCAGGCGTCCGTCGATGGAGCGTAAAGTCTTAACATGGAAATGGGGTCGTGGATCGAAGGGTTGCCAATCTCGAAGACGAAGTCGGGGACATGATGAGTGTGGTCGACGTAGGGAAACATCTCAAAGGGTAGGGATCAGGTGTTTTCGGACCGGAGATTCTGTCCTAGAACGCAACCTGTAGCGCTGTCAAAGGTGTGAAAATTGAACTTGGAATGTGTCCTCGTGTTCAGTGAGATGATTGCAAGAACACGCAAATGATGTTAAGGGGCTTTTGTTGATAGCTTGCCTTTATAAATTCCCACCCTTCCGGCAGCGTGGTATTTATACCTCCAAATCGCAGCCCCTTAATGCATGCCTAGCCCTCAAGAGTTATCTCTTTCCTCGCACTCGCCTCTAGTTACCTCCTTCGGTCGCAGAGATCGGGCGTTGGCCTGCAGCGCTACAGCCATTAACAGCAGGTTGGCTAACTTAACTAACATGTAAAGACCCCGCTGACGTGCAGGCGAGAGTCGAAGAAGAGACAACTAACAAGCACTCAAATCGGATTATGTTGTTACCTTCATACGAGACAATTACGAGCCTATGACAGCTCACCTGCAGATAGGGGGTTTCATCCTGCTTGTTTCATTGGCTTGGCAGCGTGTTAACCGATAAAGGATATCCACAAATTGATAGGTTTTAGCCACAGAGGTTTGATGGTGAGATATGGAATGCATTGCGTCCAACCAGGATGCAAGGCTTCAACGATCCATGACACGCCAATGACGCGAATGAGGATGTGTATTCTGTATTGGCATCGGGCACTTGCATGTGGCTTCAAGCCCTTGCTATGGCCCGGATATGTGCGGCTAAGAAGGTCTCGACTTAGCACGACATCTTGGCATGCGGAGAGACCCATGTCGATATGCCCCTTTGCCTACACCACCATCTCGACCCTCAACAGCACTCCTTCCATTGTAGCCAAATGCTCTTCATCTTTTGTTCCTCGAGAGAAAAAACGCGAACGAGCTAGAGAAAGGGCCTCGGCGTGTCGACGACTTAGGAAAGCACAGCTATAGGATCTCGCTGATGGCTCAAGAACCTGGCAGTCTGCAGACGCACGTTGGAAGGTCTCGGCGAGGAGCTTGCCATTTTCGTGAGACCATATTACGCCGCCCAGCGGCTGCTGGTCCCATACCCTACCCATCTTATTTATGGAAAGGGTGACACATGCAATGTAATATTTTCCCACGATAACGATTCATCCAGTCGATCTGACGAGAAGCGATCAACGACAGCCTTGCCCTGGAAAGCTTGCTCTTATTATACAATTAAATACCTCATTCAGCGGTTATGTAGGTACCATGTTGCATGCTTGCATGCAGAGCCGTTACCTTTTTGTCCTAGTTCTTTGGATTACGATATGCGTGTAGACTCATCTGGCTTTTATTGACAGAGCAAATGTCCATAGAGACCCGTGGTCTGAGCATATTTCTTGGCAGAATGACGCTCAGCATCTTCGGGTTTCGGGAAGAATTGGACCTCTTTGCGTTAGGGACGCATCTTGAGGGAACTGAAGCAATCTTGGCAGGCTGCTTCAACATCTTGTCGTCTTCACCTGCATTGAAATAATAGTATTGATGTTATTGAAATGCACGACGCTTTGATTGCTCCATCACGCGCAGTGGATTCATTACACCTACAGCTAGGCTGCTTTCGGTGTCTGTGAGGGTAGTCCGGCTCGAAAGCCATGTCCTCTCCAGCCGCCGGACGGTCGCAACAACCTCGGTGGTGAAAGTCTGCTGAACTTGCGCTAGGATGTTGATGATTCGGCCCTGAAAGTTCCCAGCACTCTGCCGCAGATAAGCGCATTGCGATAAAAGCGGAAACCATCAAGGCGCTTCTGTACTGTTATTAATGAACTGTTGAGTAAGTAAGAAGGTAATCCTGTCAAAGCGCTGCTGCTTCAACCAATAGACATGCTTCTGGCTCAAGCTAGGTGAACTGAATAGTTAGGCAAATAGCTCTGTAGGCCTGGATTGGTTGTGAGCAGGATTCATCTCGTTGAAGTACCCAGCGAGGACCATGATAATATTGTCGGCATAGCGTTTCTTCGTTGTTTTATTGACGAGCTCCTCGACTACTATTTTACTTTCGATCATCTTTTCGAGTCGGTATTTCCTTGTCGATAAAGAGGGCCTTGCCCAGACTCTTTCTAAGTATGTTGAAAAGCTTCAACCAGGTCGCCAACCGAGCACTCGACGACCTCATCCGTTGGCAAAAGGCACATGTCGTAACACAATCGGCGCAGCTTCCTTGCTATCAACGTTTTGCGATTTGCGTGTTGTCAGCGGACCTTTAAAGATGGAATCCCATGGTATCATTTTTCTCTGATCTTTGTGTTGTCTCTACATCCCCATGATGAAATATTTCTACTTCTAAAACTCATCCATAAAGTGATAGAAATTGAGAAGCTTCTGGAAAAGGGTGACACGACTACCATACGCTTTCATCGACCACTTTCGGTCATAGTCAATATCTTTTGGTTCAAGCTGCACAGAAGCGCTCGCCCAGGGAGATTGCTGATTTCTCGCTCAATTTCGACAGCAGACTATTGTCAGCAAATTCTTAACATTGCCTGCGTTGCAAAACCTGGGGTTGATTCTCATCTGTGCCAGCAACTGCTGGTCATCTCTCAGGTATCTTCTTCTACTTCCATATTTCCAGCATTCAATTTGCCACTAGAAACTTGCAGCAGCTGATCCGCTGTGTAAGGTTGAATCTGATTTCCATCGCCTTGGGGAACCGCCGCTAGAGGCCACGATTGCTGTGGAGAAACATCTCCGTAGCATTCTCGTAACCCACAAGGATACTTAATACACCGGTCTTCGTTCACATCTGCGGTAACCTGAGCCACAATTATGTCAATAACAGTCCGTCGGAAAATGTCGCTTCCATACTCTCCATTAGCGTTTTTGGTGTAAAGCGTGTACGCCTCATCTGTGCTTCGGGCTTTTAACAAACAGATTGCCTTTTTCTAGTCCCGGTGCTCAATCTAGCGGTCTATCAGTTGCAAGAGATTTGAACCCATCGGCTCTTCATGTTGTCTTGGGGAGATCTGTACAGTGGCTTACTGGACTGATCTCAAAGGCTTGAAAGTGAATCAAGATTCTCCCTTTCCTCAAAACCCACACGCAGCATGTCTAAAACTTCGTTTCACTATATCAGTATTGCACCGTTGGGCACGCTGCGACATCAGACCTTGATACCATTAACATAGCACATCCAGTATTTAGCCTGCCTCGCCAGATTGTCAGTAACCTACAAGAGGTCTTAATCACGGCCAGGTACTCCTATTGCTGGCCTGATGTGATAGAATTACAACCGTCAGACATTCAAGCACAAATACTCGGGATCATTATCGAGTGGTGCTATCAGGTAAACGACTTTGTTGATATCTTCTTGTTAGGACCGATAGGCGATGAGTGTTGCCTAATCTCGATGAGGCAGTTTACATCCTCCATATTGTTAACAAGTGCTCGAACGGACCGATGGAAAGCGTCTTTGGACTCCAAATTCTCCCGCCAGTAATCAAGACGGATAGGCCCTTTCAACTCCTTTCCGGGGACGTAAGAGAATATCATTGCCATAATATTTCTTCCCCCTTCCTTCCCTTGAGTCATAGAAACCGAAGCTACAGCGCGGCTAGCTGCCATCGCCTGGGTGGCAAAAAGGAGGTGGCAAAGTTCCTGTCATCATGCCGTTCGTACCGTTGCTCTCCACCGGGGAATCGATCTTGAAGCGGATGGGCTCCCTTCATAGAAGCTTAAAATCAAGTTTCGCTCAATATAAGCCAGTTCGCCTTACCCTAAACCATCTGAAAGATGGACTGAAAGGACACAAAGGCGTATGGAATCATCTAGGAGATGCAATGAGAAAACAATTGGCGAAGTGCGAATGACAAAAGAATAGGCTGAATTATTGACTACCAGTGCTGACAACTTGTGGCATGATGGTTTTCTCGCACTAGGTGGTGATTCGCTCAAGGTCATCTACCTGGTGGCCTAGTGCAAGGCGCGTGGGTTGTCGCTCTCCGTCGCCGAAATCCCGAACCCCAGCCTGTCTTACGTCACTGCCCGTGTAATCCTGATTGATACCACGGACTCGTCATCCACCTCGTCGGATGGTGACTTTGCCTATCAAGAGTATGGGGGATGCCGCTGCCTGAAGTGGCAGAGCGGTGTGGTGTACCAGTGTCAGGCATCACGGGTGTGTGACCCTGCAGCCCCCTGAAGGGGAAAATGATGGATCCCTCCCTCCGAGGCCGGGTGACATAATTTGCCCACAAGCAGGTCCGACTATGGCCAGAGGTGGATCATGTAAGCCGATTCGAGAAAGCCTGGGAGGAGGTTGTGTAGCGGCACGCCGTTAGATGGCGTTGGTCGACCCCTGCAATACGTAGTACTATGTACAGAGTACAGCAGGGGTTGGGCGTATTCGTATTACTCTATCCGTATACATATTACTTCCATACTCTGTAGGGACCCATCAACAGTACGGGGTATATACTCCGTAGTCATTTTCCACAATGCGCGATGCCATGAGTTGTCCTTGCCATTGTGCAGCTCTAGTAGAGAGGGTCCGTGTTCAGTCCAATTTTGGCCAGCATTTAAACAGCAACACCTGTATTCCATATTGCGCACCCCTAACTAAACGATATGGCAGGCACAGTAAGCAATAGTCGGGAGCAAAAGATGTAGAGTGTAGCTGTTAAGAAGAAGGATGATCGTTCACATACAGTTACACACCTATGTAGTCTTCGTCTACCATTGAATATCATGAAGCCGGCCGCATGTGTCTGGTGGGTTTGAGGCAGTGTCAGTGCACGCTGCAGGGTGCTATGCACATCCTAATACGAATACGAATTCGAACCTACACCTACCTACACCTACACAATTATATGCCGGCTCTCATTTGTTTTTAAGCCAAAAACCTGCCTTTACCATTCAATTCTCTCATTCACACGGCATTGAAAGTGCACCTTTATCTGAAACCAACTTCGTGACAATACCTCTTCATGGCCAGCTTCATGACCAGCTTCATGCCAATCGCCCTATCCTGGGCCTATGCTGGCAGCCTCTTTCTGTCTATCGTCATCCTAAACCTTCTCTGGCAGCAACTGCCTCGCCCAAAGTCCGAACCACCGCTAGTCTTTCACTGGCTGCCATTCATCGGCAATGCAGTCTCGTACGGAATGGACCCATTCACCTTCTACTCTCAATGTCGCGAGAAACATGGCGACGTCTTCACATTTGTGCTGTTTGGGAGGCAAATGACTGTCTACCTGGGTATCCAAGGCAATGACTTCATCCTGAATGGCAAGCTGCAGGACCTTAATGCGGAGGAGATATACAGGTAATAATCTCCTCATCCTGAGCAGCGCTACACTATGGACCTGTATACTAAAAACACGATGCCATAGCCCTCTTACAACCCCCGTCTTTGGGCGTGACATTATTTATGACTGCCCTAACTCCAAACTCATGGAGCAGAAGAAATTTGTCAAATTCGGTTTAACCCAGAAAGCCCTCGAGTCATATGTCCCTTTGATTGAGAAGGAGGTTGTCGACTACATTCATTCAGCTCCGGCCTTTCAAGGTACCCACGGCACCGTCGATATCCCCACCGCCATGGCCGAAATCACCATCTTCACCGCCAGCCGATGTCTGCAGGGCGCCGAAGTCAGGAAGAAGCTGACGGGCGAGTTTGCCGAGCTGTACCACGACCTAGACTTGGGCTTCCGGCCTATCAACTTCCTAATGCCCTGGGCACCCCTTCCCCGAAACCGACGTCGCGACATTGCCCATGTCCGCATGCGAGATGTCTATCTCGACCTCATCAAAGAGCGCCGTAATTTCGGAGACCTAGCCGACCAGGAATCCGACATGATTCGTAACCTCATGAGCTGCGTCTACAAGAATGGAACTCCCCTTCCCGACAAGGAGATTGCTCACATGATGATTACCATCCTGATGGCTGGCCAGCACTCATCCTCATCCTCAAGTGCATGGACCATGCTACGTCTTGCTTCACGCCCCGACATTGCAGACGAGTTGTATCAAGAGGTGATTCAGCTCGCCCCCAACCCATTGAGACATGAACCCCTGTCGGGACAACTTCAGTACGCCGACCTTGAAAAACTTCCTTTTCTTGCCAATATCGTCAAGGAGACGCTCCGCGTGCATTCCTCCATCCACTCCATCATGCGCAAGGTAAAGCAACCGATTCGTATACCCAACAGTGACTACATCGTCACCCCGGAAAAGGTTCTTGTCTCCTCTCCCATTATGACTCATCTCAGTGAGGAGCACTTTCGCAATGCCATGTCTTGGGATCCATACCGTTGGGACGATGTAGTTGAAGCAGACGACGACATCGTCGACTACGGCTATGGTGAAACTTCCAAAGGCACAAAGAGTCCTTACCTACCCTTTGGTGCCGGCCGTCACCGCTGCATTGGCGAGAAGTTTGCCTATATCAACCTGGCCACTATCATCAGTACCTTGGTCAGAAACTTCAAGTTCTCCACCCTGAACGGCGATACTGGCGTGGTGCCGCCCACAGATTACACATCCTTGTTCTCTCGCCCGATGCAGCCTGCTGTGTTACGATGGGAACGACGCAAGGTCACATAAGCGTGGGAAGTGATATGTGTGAGGGGGATCCAACGCACATCTGTCAACATGTGAGGCATGATGGAGGTTATTTGACTCCGCAGGCTGCGACTCTGACCTTTTTAGGTATAATGTTCTTTTCGTTAGAAGGGCATGTAATGTAATCACGGCTATGAGGGAGTCTGATCTAGGAGTCTATTTCCCTGCAGGTTGAGTGGGTGGGTAATTCTCATGCATATTTAGTAACATGGTGGTCAAAAGGTTCCCGAGGTACCAAAGTACTCTTGGTACTTGGAACATATTCACGGCTCCCTCTTAGAATTCGTACGTCATATTCTGTATAGAACCCGCATTTTAGAACCTCTTGAACTTACAGGATCCTCCCCAAACCCACTCAGAAGATTTCCGCAATCCGTTCGAAATCCTTCTAGCAAGATTTAGTGGTTAGATGGGACACCGGGCCTTGTCTCTGAAGATCCATCGCCTTGTCGACGAGTAGCCTCCACGTAATTCAAGTCCGCTTCCTACCATAAATCTTGATTTGAACGGTGAATGATCTCTCAAACTAAGTCCCTGAAAGCAACTCTGGGATGTGTGTATGGATACTGATTTCTTTTTTTTAGCTGAGTTGTTTCGGTATTATGCTCATTCTATTTATGCTATAGCCTCTTCTGAAGTTCTGTTCCATGTGACCGTCTCCTCAAACCGCGGACCAGCCGCCATGAAATGGCTTGGTCGTCTTTTAACAGGGCGAAAGGCCAAACTGGCCTGCCCAAACCGAGTCCCGAAAGACGAAGTGCTTCCCGTCTTCGACTTCTATGACACACCCATGCTGCGCAATGCCATCCTGTGCTGGATAATGCATTCCAACTACGTGCTAGACTCGTTGATGATGTATTGTAACCTGGAGACGCTCTTGCGGCGTGAAGATAGCAGACGTATACTCATCTTCTCTCTAGGCCGACCACGGCATCGATTTGGCCACCACATTCGGCCTGGTTCATGCGGCGCCACGCGCCATGGATGACTTCCTAATGACGGATGCGCCTCAGCTCTCGCTCCACGTTGTTTGCTTCCAAGATGCAGCCTTCGTCTTGTTCATGGAGCTGCAAATCGCCAACGATGCTGTGTTCATGAGCCACTTGGTTCGCTCCTAGAGCCTTGTCCTTGCCGGCCGCCATGACGAGGTACCCCCGATGCTGGCGACGGGACAGTATCTCTATTTGGGCGAGAAACATTTCCTGAAACACCAGCATATGCGCGGCTAACTGATGCTCCCCTAGGGGATGCGCTATCTCCTTGACATCATTTGATGGCCCCGGATGCAGAAGCGGGTCTTCTACATCCCCCGCATCTAGATCTATTGAAAAGATTATTTGGGATTAGGGATA